TGTCCATGCTTTTCCACAATTTTTGTTCTCCAATCCTCAGACAATCGAATAGGAAATAAGGAATTGTGTTGCCTCTCTATAAATACATGAAATAAAAAATTTCTTAACTCTGAGTTTTAAATAACAGAAAAATATATTGGCGGAGAACACAATGCTCCATATAACACGACGGCTGTAAAATCGGCACTGACTTGGGTAAGTTCCCGATTGGCGCGCGGTACTTCACATGTCACAAAGCAGGTCATAAACGTAAGTAACTGACAACCGTAAAAAAAGACGGTGTGGGTGGCGTTCAGCGACAGGATGGCGCATCGTGTGTGTCTGTCGCAGGACTGGTCTTTTTTTTAGGAGCTGGGAAGAATTATTTTCACGAGGCGTAAGACTGCTTTACGAGCGAGACAATAACTGCGAATCCGCAGACAGAATATGCGCGACACTTTATGCGGCTAGGCTCCCAAAGCCATGTTTACGCTTCAACATTTTACATTTCGCTACAATCTGTCATGATATCATTCTCCGGTTTTTATATAATCGCAGTTATTGGGAATGGCGGTGAATCATCTCGTCTTTTATGTGCCAAAGACAAAAGAAGTCAAACTCACAGCAGCTCAGGATGTTTATGGAGCCAGAGGCAGGAAAAAGCTGATATAGGCAAACTGCTGGCACTTTATAAATCCTGTATTATAATAATAATAAAAAATAATAATAAATACTACTTCTACTAATAATAATAATAATAAATAACTTCTATAATAATAATAAATACTACTTCTACTAATAATAATAATAATAATAATAATAATAATAACTTAATACTAATAATAATAATACTACTTCTACTAATAATAATAAATATAATACTACTACTACTAATAATAATAATAATAAAATACTACTTCTACTAATAATAATAAATACTACTTCTACTAATAATAATAATAATAATAATAAATAAATACTACTTCTACTAATAATAATAATAAATAAATACTACTTCTACTAAATAATAATAATAACTACTTCTATAATAATAATAAATACTACTTCTACTAATAATAATAATAATACTACTAAATACTACTTCTACTAATAATAATAAATAATAATAATAATAATAATAATAATACTACTACTTACTAATAATAATAAATACTACTTCTACTAATAATAATAATAAATACTAATATACTAATACTACTTCTAATAATAATAATAAATACTACTTCTACTACTAATAATAAATACTACTACTAATAATAAAAATACTACTTACTTCTACTAATAAAAATACTACTACTACTACTAATATTAATAATAAATACTACTTCTACTACTAATAATAATAATACTACTTCTACTACTACTAATAATAATAAATAAATACTACTACTACTACTACTAATATAAAATAATAATAAAAATACTACTACTACTACTAAATAATAATAATAAACTACTACTACTACTAATAATAATAATAATATACTACTACTACTACTACTACTACTACTACTACTAACTAATAATATAATAATAATACTACTACTAATCTATACTACTACTACTACTACTAAATAATAATAATAATAATTACTACTACAACTACTACTATAATAATAATAATAAATACTACTTCTACTATACTACTAACTAACTACCTCTAATAATACCTAATATACTAAAAAAAATAATAATAAATAACAACTACTACTACTAATAATAATAATAATAATAATAAAATACTACTTCAATAATAATAAATAATAATACTATAATAATAATAATTAAATACTACTACTACTACTACTACTACAATACTAATAATAATAAATAATTAAAATAATAATAAATACTATACTACTACTACTACTATAATAATAATAATAATAAAATACTACTACTACTTCTACTACTACAACTAATAATAATAATAATAATAAATACTACTACTACTATATAAAATAATAAACTTACTACTACTACTAAAAAAAAAATATTAATAATAATAAAATAATAATAAAATACTACTACTACTAATAATAATAATAATAATAAACAATAAATAAAAAAAAAATAATAATAATAAATAAATACTACTACTATTACTAATAATAATAACTAATAATATTAATAATAATAATAAAACTACTACTACTAATAATAATAAATACTACTACTAATAATAAATAATATAATAATAATAATAATAATAATAATAAACTACTACTACTACTACAACTAATAATAATAATAATAATAATAATAATAATAATAAATACTACTACTACTAATACTAATACTAATAATAATACTACTACTACTCTAACTACTACTACTACTAACTAATAATAATAATAATAATACTAATACTACTACTACTACTACTACTACTATATACTAATAATAGTAAAATATTACTTCTACTACTTCTACTAATAATAATAATAAATACTAGTACTTTCTTGGATACACAGAATATAACTGGATATAACATTTATAGAAAGTTGATCCAGGGAATATCCGATTGCCTCTCGGGGGATCAGGAAGGAATTTTTTCCCTGCAGGAGCAAATTGGATCGTGCTTTGCTGGGTTTTTCTGCCTTCGTCTGGATCAACTGTGGGTGTAGGATTATTATATATATATATATATTTTTTTTTTAATGGTTGAACTGGATGGATTTTGTCTTTTTTCAGCCAGACTAACTATGTAACTATGTACTACTACTACTACTAATACTAATAATAGTAATAATAATAAATAAAAAAATGAATAATAATAATAATAATAAATACTACAACTACTACTACTAATAATAATCAAATAAAAATAATAATATTAATCGCTTCCCTCCCTCCCTCTCGCAATGTACTTTGGCCGGGTGGCAGCTACAGACACAGCGATGTACCCCTACGTCACTCTGGCTGCACTAACACAAGGGGAGGCTCACCGTTTTTTATTCTCTAGGACCTCTGCTTTAAAAAAATATATAATGTTTGGGGTTTCAAATTAATTTTCTAGAAAAAAAAAAACAGTTTTTTTTATGTGAACATAAGGGGTTTATTTACTAAAGCTGGAGAGTCCAAAATCAGACTCCCTTCTGCATAGAAACCAATCAGCTTCCAGGTTTCATTGCCAAAGCTTCATTGAACAAGCTGAGGTTAGAAGCTGATTGGTTTCTATGCAGAAGGGAGTCTGATTTTGGACTCTCCAGCTTTAGTAAATAAACCCCCAAGTGTCAAAAAAGGCTCGGTCTGCAAGAGTGGGTGAAGTGTGGCATAAGCTTCTAATGTTGGCCCTGAAATGCCAGGATAGTAGAAGCCCCTCCCCTCTGCCCCTCCCCCCTGCAAATTACTCCTTTTTGGAACGTAGACACTCCAAGGTATTTGCTAAGAGGCATGGTGAGTATTTTGCAGATCTCATTTGTTGCCACATTTTTTTTGACAAGGAAGAAAGAAAACAAAAAATGCATTTTTTCTATTTTTTTTTTCTTTTTCAAAACCCTGTGACAAATATATCTGTAAAGCCTGGAGGTGGTCATTGGATTTTGGGGGCCCGTATGTAGCTAGGCTGCCAAAATGTCTCTCACGTGGTATCCCCATACTCGGGAGAAGTAGAAGAATGTGTTTTGGGGTGTTATTCCACATATACCCATGGCATGCATGAGCAATATATCATTTTCAAAATATTTGTGGCAAAAAATAAAATGTTCCATGGACTCAACATACCTCTCTACAAAATCCTTGGGGTGTCTACTTTCCAAAAAGGGGTCATTTGGGGGGTGGGGGTGTTTGTACTATCCTGGCATTTTAGGGCCTCCAAAACTATGATAGGTATTGGGGAAGTGATATGAGGAAATATGTCCTTTGAAAGCCTGGAGGTGGTCATTGGATTTTGGGGGCTTGTATGTAGCTAGGCTGCCAAAAAGTCTCTCACGTGTGGTATCCCCATACTCGGGAGAAGTAGCAGAATATTTTTTTAAGTGTTATTCCACCTATACCCATGGCATGCATGAGCAGCATATCATTAAAGTGACAACTTTGTGTAAAAAAAAAAAAAATTGTTATTGTCTAAACATTTGTGGCAAAAAATAAAATGTTCCATGGACTCAACATGCCTCTCTGCAAAATCCTTGTGGTGTCTACTTTCCAAAAAGGGGACTTTTTTTTGGGGGGGGGGGGATGTTTGTACTATCCTGGCATTTTAGGGCCTCTGAAACTGTAATAGGTAGTGGGGAAGTGATATGAGAAATGTGGTCATTGAAAACCTGGAGGTGGGTATTGGATTTTGGGGGCTTGTATGTAGCTAGGCTGCCAAAAAGTCTCTCACATGTGGTATCCCCATACTCAGAAGAAGTAGAATAATGTGTTTCAGGGTGTTATTCCACATATACCCATGGCATGCATGAGCAATATATCATTAAAGTGACAATTTTGTGTAAAAAAAATAAAATGGCATATACAAAAACTTTGTGGCAAAAAATAAAATGTTCCATGGACTCAGCATGCCTCTCTGCAAAATCCTTGGGTTGTCTACTTTCCAAAAGGGTCATTTGAGGTTTGCATAATAATAATAATATTAAATAATTTTTCTATTTAATAATACTAATAATAAAAATACTAAGAATAATATAAATATAATAATAATAATATAAAAGTAAAAAATAACAACATGCAAGTAAAGATTACAGCAATTATAATAATATCTCATGGATTTACAATGGAAAATGTGTTATTTACCGAATCTGTTCAATATTTATGTTTTACGATATTTAGTACTTACATTTTCCATTATTTTTGGTGTTTTTCACAATTTGTTTTTGCAGGCTAACACCAGAATGCACACAGCAATGTTGTGAAACTACGAAAACATCGCAGAATGCTTTCATTGACAAAATGATCTCCCTCGGATGAAATTTTACAATTTATTTTCATTCCTGAGCTCAGAGGAGAACATTTTCACACTAATACATTGTATACTTTTCACTTTCTGGCCAGTGCGGAGTTCCTCTAATCCAGGGGTCACCAAACTTTTGAAACAAAGGGCCAGTTTACTGCCCATTAGGGGGGCCAGACTGTGGTCAGTGGGAGAAAAAAATGCCCTGGCATTGATGGGAGTGAACAAAACCATAGGCTTGGTAGTCAGTGAGAAGGAAAAAAAATACATAATTGGTATCAGTGGGAGGAATAGTGCCCCATCATTGGTATCAGTGGGAGGAATAGTGCCCCATCATTGGTGTAGTGCCCCATCATTGGTGTCAGTGGGAGGAATAGTGCCCCATCATTGGTGTCAGTGGGAGGAATAGTGCCCCATCATTGGTATCAGTGGGAGGAATAGAATGGAGAATAGTGCCCCCATCATTGGTATCAGTGGGAGGAATAGTGCCCCATCATTGGTATCAGTGGGAGGAATAGTGCCCCATCATTGGTGTCAGTGGGAGGAATAGTGCCCCATCATTGGTGTCAGTGGGAGGAATAGTGCCCCATCATTGGTGAATCAGTGGGAGGAATAGTGCCCCATCATTGGTGTCAGTGGGAGGAATAGTGCCCCATCATCATTGGTGTCAGTGGGAGGTGCCCCATCATTGGTATCAGTGGGAGAATAGTGCCCCATCATTGGTGTCAGTGGGGAATAAGTGCCCCATCATTGGTGTCAGTGGTGTCAGTGTGCAGTGGGAGGAATAGTGCCCCATCATTGGTGTCAGTGGGAGGAATAGTGCCCCATCATTGGTGGGAGGAATAGTGCCCCATTGGTATCAGTGGGAGGAATAGTGCCCCATCATTGGTATCAGTCAGTGGGAGGAATAGTGCCCCATCATTGGTATCAGTGGGAGGAATAGTGCCCCATCATTGGTGTCAGTGGGAGGAATAGTGCCCCATCATTGGTGTCAGTGGGAGAATAGTGCCCCATCATTGTGTCAGTGGAAGGAAACAGTGCCCCATCATTTGTGTCAATGGGAGGAATAGTGCCCCTTCATTGGTGTCAGTGGGAGGAAATAGTGACCCATCATTGGTATCAGTGGGAGGAATAGTGCCCCATCATTGATATCAGTGGGAGGAATAGTGCCCCATCATTGGTGTCAGTGGGAGGAATAGTGCCCCATCATTGGTATCAGTGGGAGGAATAGTGCCCCATCATTGGTGTCAGTGGGAGGAATAGTGCCCCATCATTGATATCAGTGGGAGGAATAGTGCCCCATCATTGGTGTCAGTGGGAGGAATAGTGCTCCATCATTGGTGTCAGTGGGAGGAAATGGTGCCCCATCATTGGTATCAGTGGGAGGAACAGTGCCCCATCATTGGTGTCTCACATTCAATATTTTACTTTGATGAATTTGACTCTTTTATTATCTCATGGGTGTATTATTAAAACTTTTTTTTTATGGTTGAACTGGATGGACTTTTGTCTTTTTTCAGCCAGACTAACTATAAAAAAATGAGTCATGTGACCTTCATATCGCATGTGGTAACCTTTAGTGAATTGACCCCATAGGCTTTTATCAGCGTTTTTCGTCTGGGGCATTTTCAGGCTAGAACCCCCCCCCCGCCCACCCAAATGACTGCATTTGAAGAGGAGTGTTTCAGCCACGCCCATTTACACCTGCTGTTTGACCCCTCTCCCCCGCATCACTGCCACCTTCCCACCTCTCCTGCCAGCAGCTGCTAAGGGCACAAGGTGGGATCATTTCAGACCCCCAATGTCTTCCCTGCCCTCTGAAGCAACGAATCAAGCACAGATCTGAAACCGGAAACGTGCTAAATGATCGCTTCTTCTGCCTTCATTGGCCACAGAGGAGATCAGGGAACGGATGTTTTTCCATCTCCTCTGTGTGAAGCTGTCCTGGCCATTTTTCATGGTCGCAGACTTCCGGAGAGACAGCAGAGCCTGGGAACTATGGTGGCCAGCGGTGGCGGGGGGGGGGAGGAACATACGCATCTTGGTGATGTAAAAGTGATCGGGTGACTGTAGAGCTGCCCGGATCACTTTTACTAGGCTGTTACAAATGATCTCATTCTTATGGAAAACAAATAGCTGCAGCCATGATTTCGGTGTGGTCGCTTGCTAACATGCCGTATATATAAGAATGGCGGTCAGCAAGTTGTTAAAGCGGTTGTCAACCTCAGACATGAAATATGAACAAAGCACATCTCTCTGTAGTGTGTACTTGTCTCAGTCCAGAGCACTAAGTGTCATTTCTGTCTGCTGCCTCCTTCCTCTGCTATCTACATGATTCCTGACTGACAAGTTTTCATGACACCAAGAGAAAAATGGTGACAAGGGAGGGATCTCCAGCACAAAGCCTGTGATTGACAGCCTCAGCTCTGTTCCTGTGTGCTGTTTTTGGAGGTTGTGTCCCTTTCCTCCAATCAGCTGTTACTGAGTTCTGTAACTTTAGCTCCCCTGAGAGTGCAACTTAAGCTCCCTGCTTTCTGAAAATCTCAGACAAGCTGTATAAATTCTGCACTTTGAATGGCTGTAGAGGTGAGATGGCAGGTACAAGGTATGTAGCAGAGACGGACTGACCATTCGAGCACTCGGGCACTACCCGAGGGCCCGGGGTCAGTAGGGGGCCCCATAAAATGCCCCTGGTACCTTTTATAGGCTTTTTTGGGTGTGTTTTGAGTGTGGGCAAGAACACAGGGCCCCGTGATCCCCAATGAGTTGTCAGTCCGCCCCTGGTATGTAGGAGGATTTGTTTCATATCTGCATATCATCAGGCCAGTCACATCATTTGTCTCAGTCCAGAGCACTAAGTGTCATTTCCGTCTGCTGCTTCCTTCCTCTGCTATCTGCCTGAGTCACGTTTGACAAGTTTTCCTGACACCAAGAGAAAAATGGTGACAAGGGAGGGATCTCTAGCACACAGCCTGTGATTGATGGCTGTAGAGGAGAGAGGGCAGGTACAACGTATGTAGGAGGATTTGTTTAATTTCTGCTTATCATCAGGCCAGTCACATCACTTGTCTCAGTCCAGATATTCTCTGCATGAGTCACATCTGACAAGTTTTCCTGACACCAAGTGAAAAATGGTGACAAGGGAGGAATCTCCAACACACAGCATGTGATTGACAGCCTCAGCTCTGTTAATGTGTGCTGTGTGATTGGGTTGTGTCCCTTCCCTCCAATCAGCTGTCACTGAGCTCTGTGACTTTAGCTCCCCTGAGAGTGCAACTTAAGCTCCCTGCTCCCTGATTTCTGAAATCTCAGACAAGCTGTATAAATTCTGCGCTTCGAATGGCTGTAGAGGAGAGAGGGCAGGTACAACGTATGTAGGAGGATTTGTTTAATTTCTGCGTATCATCAGGCCAGTCACATCACTTGTCTCAGTCCAGATATTCTCTGCATGAGTCACATCTGACAAGTTTTCCTGACACCAAGGGAAAAATGGTGACAAAGGAGGGATCTCCAGCACACAGCCTGTGATTGACAGCTGTAGAGGAGAGAGGGCAGGTACAACGTATGTAGGAGGATTTGCTTCATTTCTGCGTATCATCAGGCCAGTCACATCACTTGTCTCAGTCCAGATATTCTCTGCATGAGTCACATCTGACAAATTTTCCTGACACCAAGTAAAAAAAAATGGTGACAAGGGAGGGATCTCCCAGCACACTGTAGAGGAGAGAAGGCCTGTGATTCTGACCTTTATCAATCAGGCCAGGCTGTCTCAGAGGAGATCAACCTTGACTACCAAGGGAAAAAAATGGTACAATATATGTAGGAGGGGATTTGTGTTAGGATTTTCTCTGTCGTATCATAGGCCAGTCACATCACTTGGCCAGTCACATTACTGGGTAGGGAAAAATATAGTGATAAGGGGGGGTTTACAACCAGCCTGTGATTCAACTCAGGTTACACACTCAATCCCCCCCCCCAAAAAAACAAAATGGTGTTGGTTTTTTCAAGTACCACTTCAATTACACGATTTCAAATTCTTTCATTGGCTGGAGCAGTAAAGTCCGCAGGAACTCCGGGAGTCCAGAGTTTAGAACCGTCCTCTGAAAACACAATGATCTCATTGAACTCTGACACACGTACAATCTCGCAGCACACATTTCCTCGACATCCCCATTCAAAGTCTTTCCAAGCTTCCTGCGAAGGCAAGATATCGGGAGCCGCCGCGGTGTTTGCGCCGGCACGTGATGTCACAGCGGGGAACGTGATTAAATTGTCACAATGAGCCAGGGACGGGGGGGGGGGGAGAAAGTAGATTAAGTTTTCACACGGGCAAAGGAAAAAGGTAGAAAGTGGATTTTCACCGAGGGAGATCAGCTGGTGCGGCAGACGGCGCCTAAACCCCTCCAAAATATGATTCCGCCAATTTGAAGGTCAGTAAACATTTTTTTATTTATACCTTCGATTATTCCATTATTTGTCGGAGAGAATAGAGCGCCTCATCCAGGACGGTTCTTAAAATTTACACCAAAGAAGCAAAAAACTAAAGGGCACACTGCATGAAAAAGAAAAAAAAAATAGAATCTGTTATTTAGCTACAGGTACAAAGTTAAAGGAGCACTCCGCTTTGAACGTGGAAGTCAGGAGCAAGCCTTTTTTTTTTTGTAGTTGGCATTTTAACATTTTCTCTGGAACAATTTGCAGTTCCAAATGCATTGAGAGCAGTTTTTATTACGGGGGGGGGGGATCAAAACTTTTTTTATTGCTTTTTGATCAGCAGGGAGGGGACGAGGGGTGGGCAGGGAGGGGCTCAATGGTTTATTGTAGGCATGAGGTACCCTTGGGCTGAGTTCCTTCTGTTACAAGGCTGACAGGAGTCGTAATAGTGGCAATGCTACTCCTGTCAGCCAAGCACTGGTAGCAGCAAGGAGAGTGCCAGAAGGAGATGGGGGGTGCATGCCTTCTAAGCAGATCATCTTAGCTGTCAGGGTCCTGTCCACGGCAGAGGTTCTGGAAGATCTGGCATTTCTGCCAGTACTCTGCATGGCCGCAGAAGGACACATCAGCCCCAGTCTGGTGCCAGAGACGGCCTTTATAAGGAGGCTCATTACTTCCTCAAGTTGCTGGATGATCTCTAGCTCCCCGTGCCCTGTTCCTGGTTCCTGTGACCGTGATTTCCTGTTACCGACTCGCTTGCTCCTGGACCTGTCTACTCTACTTTACGCCTGATCTGACCTCGGCTTGGCTTACGGACACTCTCTCTCTCATTCCTCTGGGTATGACCTCGGCTATCCCATCTGACTACGTCCGCTCTCATTCCCACCTGGTACCTGACCTCTCGGCTTGGCTTACGGATACTCTCTCTCTCTCTCGCTCCTCTGTGTATGACCTCGGCTTTCCCATCTGACTACGTCTGCTCTGATTTCCCACCTGGTACCTGACCTTGGCTTGAACCAACTACCCAGTAAACATCTAAATCCCAGAAGGGCTTGCATACCACGCACAGGCGCCTCCTGTCTGCAGACCTATCTCCGTGTACCAGCTGTGCTTCTGAGTGGACCACCAACCAGCACTCCTACAGGCGACCTGTGCAACTTTGGGCCCCGACTCCCGCTGTCCCCTGGTCCCACTCTCAGGGGAGTCCGGAACTTAGCCGCAAGGGAAGCCCTCTCTCCATTGGCCTCCATCACCAGGTACGTGATACGAGCTCACATGACCTGGGGGCATCTTTGCCCTCGGCACTGGATAACCTTATCCCGGCACTGT